GTATGTTTTATAAAATCCTTTATGGATTTAGGTCTGGGATATCTAATTATTTTTTTTAAAAAAATACTAAACTTAATACTTGAAAATATTTCGTGTTTTGTCAAGGTTTAGCTACTTAAAATAAGTATTAAAAATCAACAAGTGAACAGGTTTTAAAATCCAAAAAAAACAAAAATAATAATAACTTTTACTAGCAATAATCTAAGAAATAAAAATCACTTAGATTGACAAGAAAATTTTAAAAACCGATCACTTTATAAAAGCTTAAAAGAGAACTTCTAATTCTTAAAATTGTAAAATAATGGCTATAAAGACTGACTTTTTGCTCACAGAATCATCTTAACTATATATAATCTGAATATAAAATATAAATTTTTTTACTGTTACTACTTCCAATTTTTTTGTTTTGAAGTTATACTTCTCTTTTGGGGCGTTAGAGAAGTAGGGGATGGGGTACATTTTTATAATGCGCGCGCACACCGGCACGGGTGCAAAGATCCTTTGTCTAGAAACATACAGAACGGGACAAATCATTCCCACCTTCGCAATTCTCAGAAAAATATTTCTCTTCACTTCCCTGAAGAAGAGGTCACCCGGGTTTGAACCGGAGACCTCCCGATCTTCAGTCGAATACTCTATCACTAAGCTATACATCTCATGCCATTGAGCCTTTGCATTGCGTTCCGTAGGAACGGATACGAAAATGCTTTGTCTAGAAATATGCAGAACGGGACAGATCATTCCCGCCTTCGACCCCCTCCCAATATTATTGGTCCTATTGTCCCTGTGTGGTGGCGTTTAAATTTATTTAAATTGTGATTATCTCAGGTTTGGCTGGTCCGATCGACTGAAGGTTAGTATCGTTCCACTCTGCACGCGACCGCCTTTCGTCCTTGGCCCAGCTTGCCCCACTAAAGATTTTTAGAAAGATTTTAATCTTGTTACGACAAAGAAGTATAACTTCTTACGTGCGTACATAAGTACACGCACACACTTTTTTTTTTTGAAAAAGGGTACTGTGTAGTCTTTGTTGAATTTTTTTGTTGGTGCTTAACGCAATACACAAGGATAATTACAAATTTTTAAAAAACTTCTAATGGCCTGAGAATTGGTGTTTAACCATTGCAGACCTAGTACATTCCCCGGAAGCTGGTATCTCTTTTTAGAGAAGCACAGTATAGGCAGATACTAATCACCGCAAGTAATTTTAATGACCAGTGTCCTCCCCAGAGGGTGGCATCTCAGCTCTGACGATGCGAATCTGTACTAGGATTTAATTTTGCGAGAGCACACAAACCATATGAACACTCTAGGGATCTTTTACAGGCCGTATATGGCCGCCGTCGATATTCTGCAACATGAAAATACACCGACTTGTGCCGGGGTGGAACACCCAAGGGAAAAATTGATTTAGATTTAAAAGAATTTAAAAGTGGTCCTTTTTTTAGTAACGATAAAAATTTACATTTCTCGCTGAATTTAAAGTCAAAGATGATGTAAGTTACAAACATTTCAAAGATTTGATTTCACATTTTGTACGGAAAAAAACAATCAAAAAGAGATAAATGCTCTTTTAATTCTTAATCTATAGCTCCCAAAATATGCGTCATGGTATAAAATTTTGATGCAAACTTTTAGACAATGAACAAATTATATTTTTAAATCAGAATATGCAACATGATCTAAAAGATGTAAAATACTTGTTTCAGAGAAATATGCTTTCAAAATAAAGATTTTAAAAACTTTTCCATTAAAACATGGGAAATTACTATATACTGTGGTAGCCAAAATTGAGAACATTTTTTTTTAAAGTTGTTATGTTTTGTAAGTTTGTATGCGTATAGAAAATTTTACGTTGCACAAAACCCAAAAAGTATTTTACATCATTTTAAAGAAAATTTAAACTAAATTCTAATAAAAAAAAACGAAATTTAAATATTTGCAACACCAAAAAATTTATGCTACATGAACTGTCGATATGCATTACATACTGATGATAGTAGTGAGTTATAAGAGCTTAATGTGGTTGCTTTTATTCTTTTTTACAGCTTCACATAGGTCTTTCTTTGAGCTGAAAATAGTTTTAAGCTCTTCCTTCGTTATTACACTGGTGTGAAAAACTTAAGCAACAGGTGGGTTTATTGCAATAACTTCACGAAAAATCATCTGAGAGACATGAAATTCTGAAGTGAGGGAGAGTATTATGTACGTAAAGGATAACGAAAGCATCGGCGCTGAAAAAAAAATACAACGCATACGGTATGGAATCAAACAAAAACAAGCTTCATTGAACGCATAGTATCGTGACTCATGATTGTCTATCCAACAGGAAGAACAACAAGCAGATGTTCCTTAATATGGTATATGCCCTCCCCTTACTACAATGGTTGCTTTGCACCGTCTCCGCATACTCAGAACCAGCTGGTGCAACATTTCTTGAGGTAGGAGTGCCCATTCCTCAATCAACATCTGTTTGAGTGGTTGGTTGTACTCCGGATGATGTAAGCGTGTGGCAATACGTCTCCCCAAAGCATCCCACACATGTTCGATGGGATTTAAATCTGGGGAGCACGCTGGCCAATCCATTCGAGTGATATCTTCACTTTCCAGCAGCTCCTCAACAGCAAGAGTGCGATGTGGCAGTGCATTGTCATCCATAAAGATGAAGTCTGGGCCAATGGCACCTCGGAAAAGATGCAGATGGGGAAGAAGTACCTCCTCACAATAGCGATCCCCGGTTACAGACCCTCTGTCGAAAATGGGAAGCTCAGTTCCGCCGTTCAGCATAATGCCAACCCAGACAAGAACTCCAGGACCACCGTAACGATGTCTTTCTTTGATGTTACTGGGATAAAACCGGGTCCTGATCTCTCTCCAAATCAAAAAGCGTTGAGAATCGCTTCTGGTACTGA